GTAAATGAATACTTAATACAGGAATCTGTGAATAACTAGTTCAATCCTAGCTCTGTAGATGAGTACAAGCAGAGTTTAAGACTTACAACATGTGAAAGATGATTTTTTGCTATTTCTGTAGCATTTTTAAATTCGCAAAATACCTTAATATATAAAAACATTTATTATTTTTCGCCTTAATTCTGTGAGATAAACAAGCAAAGGATTATCTACATTTTATAGATGAGGAAATTGAGACCCAAAGAGATTAAATTGGTCCACTCAGTATAAAATGCCTGGTTAGTGATAGTGTCAGTTAGAATGCAGGCTTCTGACCCTTAGTAAAGTACTCTTTTCCCTTTATTCTCTACTTGGAAAATTTTCCTAAAGCTGGTGCCCAGATGCTTAGGATGAATCTTGGTACTATGGTGAGGCATATGTCCTTTTTAATCTCCTCTTAAGAGAAAGGCCTCTGGAAATGGACCATGTAGGACAAAATAAGCATATATACCTTGGCAGTCTCTCCATTTGTTTTGTGGCCACGTGCCAAGAGGGAGACACAAGAAAGTATGTGCATCTCTGCTGCTTTTAACTCTGACAGTAATTGGGAGAAAAATTGGAGGTGAATTATAAACTGTAGATTCCATTCTCTTTATTATTCAGAGCGTTGGACAAATAGAATTCAGCCCTGTGTGAATGATAAAGAGGGATTTTTTTTTTTTTTTTTTTGGTGAGGAAGATCAGCCCTGAGCTAACATCCGTGCTAATCCTCCTCTGTTTGCTGAGGAAGACCAGCTCTGAGCTAACATCTATTGCCAATCCTCCTCCTTTTTTTTTTCCTCCCCCAAAGCCCCAGTAAGTTGTATGTCATAGTTGCACATCCTTCTAGTTGCTGCATGTGGGATGTGGCCTCAGCATGGCTGGAGAAGCGGTGCGTCAGTGCGCGCCCGGGATCCGAACCTGGGCTGCCAGTAGCAGAGCACGCGCACTTAACCGCTAAGCCACAGGGCCGGCCCAAGAGGGATTTTTTTATTTTGTTTTGTTTTTCGGCTGAGAAGAATTCACTATTGGATTTGAGCCCCAGGGAGGGAGCCTTTCCTCACTCTTGTCAGCTGTGGCTTTGAGGAGGCCTACCACATCCAGCAAAGGACTGCACATTGTCTCTTCAGGCTGCACATAAAATCTTACTAGAAGGCCCTAATATTGCAAAGAAATAGGAAGTGGGTTCCGTCTTCTAAATCTCTTTACGGAAAGTTGTCCATGTATTGGCCACTAGTGACTTTACTTTGATAAACATTTTTTTTTTTTGGTGGTTAGAAGCACAGAATTACAGATTTCATCTCTGGTGGGTCTCCTGACACTTTGATGCATGGTGGTGCTCTCCCTGAATGGAGCTTAAATACTTCAGGGCTACTTTCTGACTGGGTGAAGGGGTGTATAAAATGAGAACATATGAGAGAGTATTAACAGAAAGGCGCACTTTGATTTACTGATATTGGCTCTCTGCTTTCTTGTTGGATTGATATGCTGTCTAATATATCTGCAATGGATTTTTTAAAACTGACTTGAACAAAATAAAAGGGCTTATATGGCTACTTGAAAGGGCCCTTAAAAGTAGTAGTCATCTCGTTGGATGTTTTCACAATTCTTGGTTATGCTACACGTTAGAGTCAAATTATGACTTGCTTGTTGGGGGCAAGAAGCTATAAACTTTATGGGCTGCTGTGCAGCTTCTTCCCTGTGTGGTTCTTGATTTCATATTTCAGATCATGGACACATGATACCTGGAGGGAGTCCAGGACAGACACTTGCTTTTCCTGTTCCTTTTAATTTTTTACTGTGGTAAAAAACACATAACATAAATTTCCCATCCTAACCATTTCTAAGTGTATAGTTCAAAAGTGTCAAGTATATTCACATTGTTGTGCAACCAATCTCCAGAACTTTTTCATCTTGCAAAACTGAAACTCTATGCCCATTAAACAACAACTCTCTTTTTCTTCCTCCCCCAACCCCTGGCAACCACCATTCTACTTTGTATCTCTATGAATTGGACTACTGTAGGTACCTCGTGTAAGTGGAATGATACAGTATTTGTCTTTTTGTGACTGGCTTATTTCACTTAGCATAATGTCCTCAGGGGGCATCCATGTTGCAGCACGTGTCAGAATTTCCTCCCTTTTTGAGGCTGAACAATATTCCATTTGTTTTTGTTGTTGTTGTTCTTTTTGACTAGAGTCCAGATTGAAGGATTATAGGTGATTTCTTCTATATAGAGATGACTGGGATGGTAGAATTATTTACTATACTCTGGTCTTAGGATTTTTTTAAGCATGTTTTTTAATTGTGGTAAAATAGACATGACATAAATTTTACCACTTGAACCATTTTTAAGTGTACTGATCTCAGTATCATTAAGATACTGATATTTTTAAGATACTGATCTCAGTATCATTAAGTACATTCACATTATTATGCAACCATCACCAGTGTCCCTCTCCAGAACTTTTTCATCATTCAAACTGAAACTCTATATCCATTAAACAGTAAGACCCCATTCTCCCCTCTCCCCAACCCCTGGTAACCAGTATTCTATTTTCTGTTTCTGTGAATTTGACTATTTTAGGTACCTTATATCAGTGTAATTATACAATATTTGTCCTTTTGCAACTGGCTGGCTTATTTCACTTAGCCTTATATTTTCAAGGTTTGGTCTTAAGAAGTTTGAAGATTACTTTGCTAATGCAAAATTGATTTGTGGTTTCACTTTGGAAAACACGGGCTCTGTCTCTTAAGATGTAGCCATTTCTAGAAAAGGAGGTAAAAACAATGGTTAAGACTTACGTAGAATTTGGATGAGATGAGATTTCTGCATTTTCATGGGCTTCCTTCCAGGTATTAGTATCTTTTCTATTTTCTTAGGGTTCTTGCTACAACATATACTTTCAGAACCTTGGCTATTGTGGGATACCTGTTTGCAATCTTCAGCTCTTTTCACAGATTATCATTTGTGGTAACCTAAAATTTGTAGGTGTCATTTGTATTTTTTGCTGTCCTCATTTCTTTAAAAATTTTCCATACATTTACATAATTTTGCATTGTTCTCCTGACACACTTAGCATATTTCGACTGAATAGTTCTTGCCTTTAAAATTGTTATATCTTTATTCTTTTTTTTCTTCTTGCCTGCTTTTCATCTTGTTTATATTTAATCCATTTCCCAAAAGCTGACAGACAGAATAATAATTCTGTATTACTTTTTTCTTCTTCATGAGAAGTAACTTTTCATCTCCATATTTGGTGGAAAGTTTTTTTGTTTTTGTTTAAGATTCAGAGCAACAAGTTGAGAATCTTGATTTGGAGCACAAGGCATTTTGGATTTTTTAGGTAATATTTACGTATTGCAGATCCTCCCAAGTGGTATGGATATGTACTGATTACGAAAGGATTGGAGTATAGAATTTAGGAAAGATGTGATCAAGGGTCTTATATTATTTTAAACAAGGAAGTTGTATTTATATCGCTTATATGCAGATTGTTGAAGGAATGCAAGGTAGTTATTGGGTCATTGAGTTCCTTCTGACCAATCTGAGACAGCTTTCTCAGGTAGGTTAGCTCTTAGCCTTATGTTGAGGTATAATCCTCTAGTACAATATACATAGAGAGCTTGTCCGACTCGTGTATTGGTGTCCCATTGATGAAACAGGTTGGGATGTAAAATAGTGAGGAGGCCACTTATGTTGCGCAGATAGAAGCAGAAAAGATAGAATAAGACTCATAAAACACAGACTTCAGACTTAAACTGAAGTCTGTGTGGGCTGAAGTTAGTGTGGAATATAAAATAAAAATGAAGGTAGGGGTAGCTAAATGAAAGTAGGGATGGATGCTTGTGTGAAGATTACAATGACTTAAGAGAGAGAGGGAAGGAGTGATAGAAGCATGGCCACAGATAAATGGACAACAGTTAGTAATAATAAGAATGGAAAATACAAGATTTAGCAACCAATTAAATATATAGAATAAGGGCACCAGAATGTCAGTGATCTCCTATGGAAACATTAAACAGAGAAGAGAAAGACAAGGGAGAAATGTTAGGGAGAAAGAAAAGAGTTCCGTTTCTGATGTGGTTATGTTTGAAGGAGTGGTGGAGCATCCATGTGAAGATTTTCTTGCAATTGCTGAAAATGTAAAAGTTTGATTATAGGAGAGATGTCTGAGTGCTGTCAACACATTACTAGTGATTATCAGTGTCTGGTTAGCCCCTTTCGTAGGATTATGCTGATAAAGAAGGTAAGAGTTCAGTTCTCAGAGGGCCGGTGTTTATTCTGAAAGTTCTTAGCCATAGACTGTAAACTTAATCCTGACTGCTTTATTACAAGTACATCCTGTTGGCTATGAGGAGAACCAGGTGAGACCATATTCTTGACATGCAAATTTTTAATACACAGTTCAGCACTGCAAACAGTAAGTCATTAACTTGGGTTTTCATACGTGAATAGGAACTTTCCATAAGGATATTTATTGAAAGATTGAATGAATGAGATGGCAGCTCAAACCAGAGGAAAATGAGATCTCCTGGGAGATCTTAGGACTAAGTTGTGCTCTTTAGAAGAGAAGGAATTGCTTAAGGAGTTGATTGATAGAGGGATAAATCCAAGAAGTTGGTGGGTTACCTGTAAAGAAAATACCTGAGAAACTAACACCAAAGGAAAAAAATGATTGGTTATGACAGGCAGGGAAGGATTTTGTCAATTTTATTAAATTTAAGAACTCAGAATTTATTGCAGACAGTTTTCTAAGCACCTTACACATGTGATCTTGCTCGTCCCTCACAGCAACCATATGAAGTAGTCACTGTTAGTATTTCCTTTCAGGAATTCTGTATTTCGGAGAGTTCTTAGTCCCTATGTACCCTGTGCCTGCCACTCCAGCCAGAACTGCTCAGGATTCAGGAGTGAAAGGCATTGCCTACTTTGGAGAATTGTAGATAGTTAATTGTTCCTTCTGTGCTTTATTTCCCAGGTCACAAGGCACTTAAAGCATTGTTGAGGTCGTTGGTAGATCTTCAGGAAGAGTTGCTTTTCCAGTACCCAGACACTAGATATCTAGTAGATGGGACAAAGCCCAAAGTGGAAAGGTAAGGAAGGAATGGAACTACGGACTCCCTAATTTTCTTTCTTTCTTTTTTTTTTTTTTTTTT